AAAGTTCTAAATGTTGCATTTTAAATGCAGCAAAAACGCTGCATAACAATTCGTGTTGAATCGAAAATCGGCTCTTCTGAATAGGGATGGCAACTTTTTCACTTTCAACTTCTCATTCAACTTCGCATTCTCCAGTAAAACATTGCAGCGAGAGCGTAAAAGCAAAATAGATCGTAAAATTGAGAAGAACAGAAAACTAGCAGAAAAAGTTAATGAACACAAAACTAGCAAAAACTTGCAAGTGAACAGTTGTTGCACTGTTTTGATATTCTGCTGTAAACATTTTAATATTTATAAATCATTTTTAAACGCTTTGCTTTACACACACGCACTTACACAGTCCAGTACATCATTAATATTTTGATTTCTACTCATTTTACTTTTATTTGTGCTAAACCAATTCAACAAATGGCGGCTTTTGACACTTATTCTTCTTCTTCTTCTGCTAGCTAATTTCGGCTAGTAGAAATTTCACTAGCAAGCATTTGCAGCTCTCCCGTGTTGTTACGCTCTCGATTCAGTGCTCTTGCAAATTAGTAATTAGTACTGACTATTGGTTACTATGCAAACCTAATGTTTACCGTTTGAGCATTTTGGTGGCTAGACATACTTAAAAATGGCCCCTANAATGGCGGCTTTTGACACTTATTCTTCTTCTTCTTCTGCTAGCTAATTTCGGCTAGTAGAAATTTCACTAGCAAGCATTTGCAGCTCTCCCGTGTTGTTACGCTCTCGATTCAGTGCTCTTGCAAATTAGTAATTAGTACTGACTATTGGTTACTATGCAAACATAATGTTTACCGTTTGAGCATTTTGGTGGCTAGACATACTTAAAAATGGCCCCTAGCCCTTTTTTCGCCCTTCGGAGAATTTATTCATACTTGGCATGAAAAAGTTGTATATGCTTAATTTGATCTATTTTTTTTGCATTTATGTCAGAGATGAATTTTTAAACTAATAAAGACTGATATATATAGAAGTTGCGTTCCAGATAACTACGTGTAAAAACCTGTGAAACTGTCAAATAACAAAATCACTCTCTTGAAAGAGAGGAGCGAGAGCGAAACAATAAAAGTCACCTGGAACGCGAAAAACCACTTTTCCTGTAACTACTTCGATTTTTTTTTTAAATGTGGAGTGCCATGGAGACGATCAAATATCTTTATCAACCGTCTCGCGTTATGCTTGACAAAAAACAAGCGCACTTGCCTTCTGATCGTCGTGGTGAGCAAGTGCGCGGACAAGAAAAATAAATTGTTTGTTTAATTGACGAATTTATTTCAACGTTGCTGGCCAATCTCGTACATATGCAATGCTTCACGTATTTATTTGATTGTCTCCGTGGCGCTTAAGGTTCTGTTTTTGTTTACAAATGCAACCCTGCCTATAGTTTGACACTTTTCATGAACTTGCAGGAAGAAAAACTTCGGACTAAAACCTGCAACTTTTGACTGAGAGAGAGAGCAAGTTACTCTCACAATAATGGTTTGACTTACAGATTTTTTGGCACCTGGAACGCTTTCCTGCAAAAAAAGCCTGCAAATCGTGAAAATCGTGAATATCGTGAACACCTGGAACGCAACTAGATATATGTATTGTATGTTCCTTGCGTTTTTATACATACGTACTGTAAAAGTGTTAGGGCTGTTAGCTTAAAGCAGTGTTTGCATTATTCAACTTTGCGTTCAACAATTGCGTTCAACTCAACGCAGGGTTGCACGAAAAAAAAGTTGAATGGCTAAATTTTGGCTGGCGACCAACTTTGTTGACAGCGATTAGTTGAAAGGCCATTCAACCAAAAGTTGAATGCAAAAGTTGAACAATGCAAACACCTTTTTATGGCGAATATTTTGATATTTTTTCATATTTTGATATTTTTAGCCATTCAACTTTTTTTCGTGCAACCCTGCGCTGAGTTGAACGCAAATGTTGAACGCAAAGTTGAACAATGCAAACACACTTTAACTATTAACGATTTAACTATGGTTTAAAATAGATAAGTTTACGGCCCTGAGGGCCAGTTTTTCAGTGCCAGTTTAAACTCAGATTAAGTAAACATAGTTCATTTGCGCTCGCTAATCAACGATTGACCGTATATGTTCTTATGGTGTAATTGTACCAGCTGCTGGTGCGACATTAAAAACTATTTGAAAATTTTATGATTGTACCAGCATTCTGGTGTCGCGAGTGGTTAAATGGTGGCCTAAATTTCTAAGTAAAAAATATTTTGGCGGTAATTTCTTGCACTATATGAGTCAAAGCCGTGTTTGTGGAATATTAAGTTATATACGATATTGCAGTTGCGAATTAGAAAAAAGAACAATGTTTACCAAAATGGTAGAAAAGTTATGAAATTTCAGCTCTTAATCATTTCGATCTTTCCTCGATCTCATTTGGAAAGAAATAAATATTGTACCAGCATGCTGGTAAGTTATTTGCTTCGAGCCTGATGGTACAATCACTTGATCGAGCCAGCGTGCTGGTGTCGTATATTTCCCGTATTTTATACAAAAAGGTTTTGGTTGGATAAAATATTGGTTTTTTTTTCAAGAGTTCATTGTTTTTCTATACCATTACTTATTGAAAATGTTTGCGTGTATACTTTTATATGTATACGTAAGTAAACAATTTTAGCTAGCATTTTCAGCCACAATGACTTTTTGTAGCTCTTATTTAGCCCTTTTTTTAAAGGAATTTGGCTACCACTAAAAATAGGGCACCGAAATTGCGCATATGGAAACTGTGCATTTAGACATTATTTCGGTTTCAACCGAAACTGTGCATGTATGCATTACTTGGTTTTTCCATATGCATTATTTCGCTTTTAAAACGAAAGTATGCATATGCATAATTTCGGTATTTTTTCATATGCATTATTTCGGTTTTCAACCGAAACTGTGCATGAGTGCATTACTTCGGGTTTTTCATATGCATTCTTTCGGTTTCCAACCGAAACTGTGCATACATGCATTATTTCGGTTTTTGTTATATGCGTTATTTCGTTTTTCAACCGAAACTGTGCATGTATGCATTACTTCGTCTTTCACATATGCATTATTTCGGTTTGCATCCGAAACTGTGCATACATGCATTATTTCGGTTTTTGTTATATGCGTTATTTCGTTTTTCAACCGAAACTGTGCATGTATGCATTACTTCGTCTTTCACATATGCATTATTTCGGTTTGCATCCGAAACTGTGCATACATGCATTATTTCGGTTTTTGTTATATGCGTTATTTCGTTTTTCAACCGAAACTGTGCATGTATGCATTACTTCGTCTTTCACATATGCATTATTTCGGTTTGCATCCGAAACTGTGCATACATGCATTATTTCGGTTTTTGTTATATGCGTTATTTCGTTTTTCAACCGAAACTGTGCATGTATGCATTACTTCGTCTTTCACATATGCATTATTTCGGTTTGCATCCGAAACTGTGCATACATGCATTATTTCGGTTTTTGTTATATGCGTTATTTCGTTTTTCAACCGAAACTGTGCATGTATGCATTACTTCGTCTTTCACATATGCATTATTTCGGTTTGCATCCGAAACTGTGCATACATGCATTATTTCGGTTTTTGTTATATGCGTTATTTCGTTTTTCAACCGAAACTGTGCATGTATGCATTACTTCGTCTTTCACATATGCATTATTTCGGTTTTTTCATAAGCGTTATTTCGGTTTTAAACCGAAACTGTGCATATGTGCATTATTTCGGTTTTTTCAAATGCATTATTTCGGTTTTCAAACGAAAGAGTGCATATGTATAATTTCGGTTTTTCTAATATGCATTATTGCGGTTTTCAACAGAAACTGTGCATATATGCATTATTTCGGTTTTTCTCATATGCATTATATCGGTTTTTCTTTGTATACATTATTTCGGTTTTTTTCATATGCATTATTTCGTATACAGTTTCCATATACACAATTTCAGGGTGCCGTAACTGACTCGCGGCAACACTGTCAATTACTTGTACCAAACGAAAAGTATCGAGTATATACTTTTTATTTATTCGTATCATTTCACCTCTACTTTTAGTGTGTGATTTGTCAAATTTCGTTTCGTCCCTAGTTTAAACTTTACTTATTCTAAAAATCTTTTATCGGTGTGTATTTTAACATAGTTGTGAACTGAACTCAATCATAATACATTGCTAAAGATACCTATTCAAATAAAATTTTTATTTTAATCTGGTATTTTGTTACGTAACCATTTTTAATAGAAGTTACGATGACAAATTCTCCTACCACTGTGAGTGCTGCCAAGCCCGTATTGCGTGGTTTGCATAACGCTACCATCAAGAAGAACCTTACCATTGCTCTCGCGCTGACCGCGGTGGTAACAGTCGGTTGGAGTTTTCTAATCAACCGACCCAAGAAAGAGGCTTATGCAGAATTCTACAAGTAATTGAAAGTTTATTTGATTTAAGACTAGATAATACATACTTTTTTTCAGGAACTATGATGCTCAGAAATCTTTTGAACGCATGAAGGCTAACGGTCGTTTCCAAGGATGTTGAGTAACCAAAAGTTGAATAGGGGGAAAGTGTTTAAAAATAATATAAAATATACACCTCTCAAAACTTAATTTTTGTATTTAATGAATACAGGGCTCGAATCGTCACATACGATATCGTAATACGCGTATTACTCGTCACGTAAAAACATCGTTTTCGGATTATAACACGTGAGCGTACTCTATCCCATTTAGCTTATACGACTGACAGTATCACGTAATTTCCTTTCGTATGGTTTTCGATCGGTGAACGGATGTTACGATTCGAGCTCAGATTTTTCAAGTGGAACTTGGACTAATTGCTTAAACCATTTGGCTTGACCGATATATTTCCACCACAGTCAGGTCTACATAACTGGAACGACCGAGATTTGTATCTGGCCAAGCAGTCACTCCAGCAACACTCGCTAAAAACTGGCGATTTTGATTGCTCTAGATACGGTTTAGTTATTGTGCAAAGATTTTAGGTTGCCGTGCACAAGCTTTTACACACACTTCTAGACAAGAGTCTACACTTATTAAAAAAAAATAATCGGCCCTATTGCGAATTTCACATGAACAAATATTGCCAAAAATTATAAAGCAAAACAAAAACAATGTTTCCCAATTTGTTTTTGTTTTGCAGGTTAAATTATGGGAGCGATTTATTCACATGGAATTGGGGATAGGGCTGAATATAGCTGAAATATGCGTACACTGATAATGGGAAATGTTTACTTTGGTTTAGTTTAGTACGTTTTTAAGGATGGGGCGAAATTATTAAAAATAAATAATAGGCAAAAAAACTTGAATATACAACGCTTTTATAAAGGGACTAAAAATTAGAAAATAATATCAGTCCCATAGAATTTGTTTTGATTTTGAAATTTTTGCTAAAGTTATAAACCATTTATGAGATTGAAAATGAAAAGCGTGGGGCGCATGTAATAGACCTGAATTGATATGAATATGTATGTGAATATACAGTTACGGTCAAAATAATAGAATCAAGATTCAAAATGATGCTGTTGGCAACTTATCTTTATTTATTTATTGTTAATAATTTTCATTTAAAATACGGGTCGGCCTATATCAGATACCAGATAATAATGGGTCGATTACGGATAGCAACGCAACCACGGTTCGGTTGCCAGCTGGCAATGCAACTGGAAAGAAAATTTGTATTACGATTGCCAACTATCGTCTGGATAATCGAAATTTGACAGTTCGACAACCAGCAAGCGGCTGTAAACAAGCTGCGAGTAAAATTAAATTATTAAAATAAAGAGTTTTAAGAAAAGACAGCAATAAAGCTAAGTTCATCACAATTGTTTGTATATCTGACTACTAGTGGTAAAATGCCGGACTACATATCGGAGAATGTCATCTACGTCGGAGGAGTGCAGCCATATGAATTAAGAAACGCAACTGATTTAAGACTACAGAAACATGGCAAGGCGTCATCACAGAATAATGTATTCTATAAAGGTTTTAAAAGATTTAATATGCTAAATGAAGATACCAAAAAAGAAAAAATATACACTTATTTAAAAGAAAATGTATAGAATTTGTGAGAAAATAGTTTAGACAGCTCAAAATAATGTTATGGTTGTTGTTGTTGTAGCGGCTACAACAACCCCGCCCAGGACGGTTGGTATCAGTCGCTGTCGTCAAGTTCCACTAACGGCAACCCTAGGAAGCGTGCAGCTTCTGTGGGGTTTGTCCACAGGGACAAGGCCGTTAGGGTTGTCGGGTTTTCCGGGCATGCGAAGAGATCTTTCGAGTCATGTGGGGTCTCTCCGCATGCCGGACACTCATTCGGCACATCCTCATTCAACATACTCAGGTAGGAGTTTAACCTGCTGCAGTAGCCGGAGCGAAGTTGTGCAAGTGTTGTGCGAGTCTCCCGAGGCAGATGAAGCTCCGTCTCGTCTATGTCCGGGGGTGGTATGCCTGGAACTGCATCACAGGTCTAGAGTCTACATAACTCGAGACTGAGACCCTGTGAATGCCGTTCAGGGCCTGTCGGTAAGATGTCGGGTCCAGAGGTTGCTTGATGAACCTCTGGACTTCGTCTGTCAGTTCATATAGATGCCTCCTGACGTGCCTAGGCGAGGGCTCCTCTGCAAGCAGGTGTCTGCTTGGGTGGCCACTTCTGATGCTCCCGATCAGGAACTGCTTGCAGAGCATTATATTATGCTCCTTTACAGGGAGCATTTGCGCCTCGCCGTGCAGGTGGTGTTCAGGCGACATCAAGAGGCATCCTGTCGCTGTCCTGAGTGCGGTGTTTTGTACAGTCTGTAGCTTCGTCCACTGCGTCCTACTAGTCCCTGGCGACCACACTGGCGCTGCGTAGTTCAAAACCGGCCGGCCTATTGCCTTGTATGTTGCCAGCAACGTTTCTTTGTCTTTGCCCCAAGTACTGCCGGCTAGCGACTTGAGGACCTTGTTGCGGCTCTGTACTTTATTGACAATAGCGGTTGAGTGCGCAGAGAAGGAGAGCAGGCTGTCGAATGTTACTCCGAGTATTTTGGGGTTATTCACCGTCGGAATTGGTGTGTCATCGACGTGAATCCCCAGCGGTAGCCTGACCTCCTTCGTCCAGGTTGTGAACAGGGTCGCGGAGGATTTCGTAGGGGAGAGGGCTAGACACTTTGCAGTGAAGAAGCGAGAAAGTTCGGAGAGATAGCCGTTTACTTTCGAACACAGGTCATCAATTCCATTCCCAGTCGCCATGATCGAGCAATCGTCGGCATAAGAGACAATCGAGACTCCCTCTGGTGGTTGAGGGAGCTTTGAAATGTAAAAGTTAAACAGTAGCGGGGAAAGGACACCACCCTGAGGAACCCCCTGTTTTATTTTTCGCTGCTTACTCGTTTTGTCTCTAAACATTACCGACGAATGTCGACCACTCAGATAATTTGCCGACCACCGTTTGAGCCTCTGTGGGAGAGAGGAGGCCTCTATATCTTCTAGTAGCGTGGAATGGCAGACGGTGTCAAACGCCTTTGACAAGTCCAACGCTACTAGAATCGTTCTCTCACAGGGACGGTTACGGTTAAGGCCACGAGTTATCTGAGTGTTTATGGCGTTAAGTGCTGTTGTTGTACTGTGCACTTTACGGAAACCATGCTGATGCTTCGCTGGGGTCAGGTGGTTTGTGAAGTACGGGAGTAGCAAGGCCTCGAGTGTCTTCGCTACCGGGGAAAGGAGTGTTATCGGACGATACGAATCTCCTTTGTTGGCAGGTTTCCCCGGTTTGAGCAGTGGGACCACTCTCCCCACCTTCCAGATGTCTGGGATGATGAGAGTGGCCATTGACAGGTTGAGGACCTCCGTTAGGTACGCTACCCCCGCAGGACCCAAATTTTTCAGCATCAGCATGCATATTCCGTCGGGACCCATGGCTTTGGAGGCTTTCGCCTTCCCGATGGCCACCTGAACTTCACCGCAAGTGAAAGCAAGGGGGGCACAGGTTGTTGGCAGTTTGTGCAGCCTTCTGGTCACTCGACGCTTGGCTTTGTCCACCGGAGGATGCAGTATGAACTGCCGGCTAAAATAGCTCGCGCATCGTTCCGGGTCCGACGAAGCATGGTCGCCGAAGGAAATTTCGACTCTGTCGTCGTGCTTCGTCGGATTAGACAACGACCTCACGGTTGACCAAAGCTTGCTCACACCAGAGGTGAAGTTACAAGTCTTCAGATGCTCCTCCCACTTCTTCCGCTTATGTACGTTTACAAGTTGCCGAATCTCCGCGTTGAGATCCCTGATACGGGGATCTCCGGGATCGGCCTGACGAAGGCTATCACGCTCATCGGCTAGAACAGCCGCTTCGGCAGGGAAGTTTGGACGTGGGTCCGATATACATCCTGCCGGTATGAAGCGAGCTGCAGCAGCAGTGATAGCCCTGCGGAACTTACGTTCACCGAGATGGACGTCGGTTGGTGTGGGGAGCGCTGCGAAGGTGTTTTCGGTAAACTCCGCGTAACCTTTCCAATCAGCTTTAGAAAAGTTGATATAGGTCCGGTGTTTGGCGGAGGCAAAGTCGGTTGGTTTATCAATCGAGATGACTATGGGTAGGTGGTCTGATGCTAGAGTCAGCATAGGTCGCCATGTTATGCTGTTTATCAGACCAGCGCTGACTATTGTGATGTCTGGCGAGCTACTGCAGTTACCCATAATCCTGGTGGGTGCGTCGTCGTTCATTGTGCAGAATGTCGAATCGTCTATCTGCTCAGCCAAGTCTGTTCCCCTACGATCGTTTGACAGGCTTGAGTGCCAAAGATCGTGGTGCGCATTAAAGTCACCTACTACCATACGGTTTTCACCTCTGAGGAGCGCACCTATATCAGGGTGATATCCTGCCGGGCAGCAGGTGACAGGGGGTATGTATATGTTAAATATTTCGAGCTCGACATCGCCTGACCGGATAGCAATGCCCTGACATTCTAGGGTGGTATCCCTGCGGTCGATGTCTGCTTCGATAAGACGATACTGCACGGTGTGGTGCGTGATGAACGCTAAGCCACCACCATTATCTCGCTCGCGATCTCGACGGTGCACGTTGTACCCGGCGCAATTCAACAAAGTTGAATTGCTGTGCAACTTCGTCTCTTGGACCGCAGCTATCAATATACCATGCCGACACATGAAGACGGTTATCTCCTCAATCTTGCTCTGTAGCCCGTTACAGTTAAATTGAAGGAGCTTCATGTGGTTCGGGAGACGTGTCGTGATGTGGGGTGTAAGTGAAGTGTATGTTCTTGCCGCCGTTGGCTGTGTGTGCTGCTGAGGTGATTGCCGCCCTGTGGTGGTGGTGGGGGGCGTCGCAATTGGAGTCTGCGACCGAGCAGCGCAACACGGGCCCTCGAAGTTCCCCGTCCAATCTCGCGTGGTACGCAGACCTGAGCATGCCCTAAAGTGGCACCAGCCAAGGCAGGTGTTGCACTTGACTGATGTCACATTACGGAATATCCTGGTCTGACATACCGTGCAGATTGTAGGGGGAACCAGGAGTTGTTGGCGGCGGCGTGTGGGTGGTGGTGCGGTTGTGTGTGTTATGTGGTCTGTCGTGGCTGTGGTATGGTCTGTGG